GCCATCGGCAAAAGGATGTGAGCCTGGAAAGGCTTGGGCTTCTTTTTCACACTGGCGGCACTGGGCAAGCTCGAGCCGGCACTGCACCCTAGCAGCTATCAAATTGCCTGCACCGCTCTGAATTACCTTCACCTCTTGTGGTCACTATTCATGGGTGGGGGCCCAACCTAAACCCTAAACCCTCTGGTTCCAGGAGGTGCTCTGGCTTCCAGCGTGACAAGTGCTAGAGTAGGAGTCTCTGAGCTTGCTACGGTTGCACTTCCTGTCGCACGGCCTCGGGAGACAAAAATGGCACCATTCTTTGCTGAGACTGCGTGAGATCGTCACATCAACTGAATTACCCTGCTTGTGCTTGCCTAGGCTGAGCGGGCGAGAGGAGTGGCGCAGGCCCGCTGAGTGCTTGCAGGGGATTAGAAATTGCGAGTTCTGAAACCCGCGGGAAGCCACTGGTCACATTCCAAGGTAGCGTACGAGTTACGACATTCCAAGGTAGCGTACGAGTAATTATTGCACGCTAGAGTCTAGAGCATCGGCTAGGAACCTTGTAAACCCCCTGCCTGCCTAGGCTGAGACGGGCGGGCGAGAGGAGTGGCGCAGGCCCGACGTGGGGAGCGCTGAGTGAGAGTGCTTGCAGGGGGTCATTGCGAGTTCTGAAAAAATAGCGAGTTCTGAAACCCGCCGGGTTCCGGAACCGACCCCAGAACCGGTCCCCAGGACTCCCCCAAAGAAGGGAAACAAGACTTTCTTTAGGAACGCTGGTTTGAAACCAGATTTTACAAGATTCGCAGGTGCACAACGGGGTGGGTAACAAGATTTCATTTTCTAGCGTTCCTGTGAATATTCTGTCAGGTTTAAGAAGGGTTCCTGGCAATGTCAATCTGATTCCTGCTGACCGCAAACCTGACTTAGGCTCGCTGTGAGTGGTGTTGCCTTTCCTCTGAATTTTGTTGATCCCTTGCAAGTGCCGTCGCCGGGAGCACAGCAGTTTTGTGGTGTTGGAAGCAAGACTTTGGTTCAGGCAGGGTCAGCTTTGTTTGAGTCTGTTAGGGCTGCAATGGGCAAACGTTGCTTTCTGGGGGAGAAGCAGCAGGGCAAGGAGCCAAAGAAGCCGCGAAAATTGCACTGTCATCTTGGCAGTCAACAGTGCGTCAATTGCTACTGGATGAAACATGGGTCAGCTTTGCAAGCTTCTTGCGTGCTTCCAGATTCTGATGTTTCATGGTTGCAGGCATACGAATCCTCGGATGGCTTGCGGGTAGGCTGCATAGCGTGCTACAAGTATTGCAGTGAGGCGGACGCAAATGATTTGCCTTCCATCGCCTCTAGCCCTTTGGCCTGGTTTCCGGTGGCTTCTCTGACAGGCACGTTGAAGAACTTGAAGCGGCATAGCGCTTGTCCAGGGCACCAGAAAGCGGTGGCTGCTTTCTGGGATATTCCTCTGGAAAAACCGGAGATTCCAGAAGACGCTGCCCCCTCGAAGGAACAGTGGGCATCCATATGGCGTAGTTTCCGGTCCAAGAGATACATGGACCAGGAGTCATCTGAGCTCATTCTTCGAGAAAAGGGTAGACGCATGCAATACTGCCTTGCAGAAGCCCTGAGGGTGCGCCACAGGCAGCTGCTTCGCGAGGCGCAGTGCCTGACATTGTCACTGGATGAAGCCAAGACACGGTTGCTGGTTCGCTTTGCATGTGTTGGAAAGCGCTTGCAGGTACACCGCGGGGTCTTAGGAATGCACCGCTCAAAGGCTACAGGGCACAAGAGCGTCATGGAATCCTTGGACCATATTCTACGAAATTCTTGCACATACCTCCATGGACATCCGCCTCCGACCGGAAAAACGGAGCCCACGTTTCACGAAGACCTGTATGAGCACCTGCGCAGCATTACGCGGGTTTGGAATTCAGATGCTGGCCCAGATGAGATGCTGGCAGCAAAAGAGGTTCAGAAGATCCCTTTGTCGAAGGATGATTTGAGCCCCCTTCTGCCTAACATTATTCTGGTCAACCGCGACAAGGCACATGCATCGCGGAGAGTGGCTCGACGACCTTGGACGGCAGCAGAAGATTTGAGTCAGATTTTCCAAACATTCTCCCAGTGGTTCTCAGCAGTGGAACACTCAAGCATGCTTCAGGGCTGGTATGAGGAGTTTCAAGCTCAGCAGCAGGATGAGCAAAAGGTAACCGTCCAGAAATCCTTAGCCTATGCTGCTCACAGGTTCGATAGTGCCAGCCGGCCTTTCGCAGTATGTCTCCTGACTCTGCCCTCCTGCCTCCTCACTGCCATCAAGGCTGTCAATGAAAGGCGTGGTACCGCGCAAGCGGAGAGAGCCCGTGCCTTTCTAGAGTTCGTGTCGGGGGTCGAGGGTGCGGAGCGCCTTGTTCTTGCAGGGATGCTGGCTGACGCCTCTGATGAGGCACTGCTTCTGATTCGTGCGATGGATCGAGAGGCCTGCGACACCAGCTTGATGCATCACGAGGTCCAGCAGTTCCTACGCAGAACAAAGTGGCTATTCGTGGATGAGCAGTGCGTCAATGTAGGTTTCACTCAGTACATGATGGAAGCAATCAAAACCCAGCACGTGTGGTTTGAGATGAACCACCCTTGCACTATTGGTCTCCGCAATGGCCTGTCCGCGGCCGCCTTGCGCAGGTGCCTCCAAAAGATGGCATCCTGGGTGGGTGTTAGTGCGAAGGTTGTCGCCACAGAGTTTCCATCCTTTGACCTGATGGGGAGTTTCAGGGCATTGGCTTTGCCAGACTCAGCGGGCAACGACAATTCACGTGAACAGCACTGCCGTGGCCTTGCGCAGCAACATGCCGAGGAGGGCCACTGCCTTCTTGCGATGATCCCTTAGAAAGTACTAAGGTTCGGATTTAATTAGCTAGTCTTTGCGACGCAGGGCCGCGTTTATCATTCTGCCTGGCTTGAGCCCCTGATCAGGACATCGCCCGTCTTTGCCAAAGTCTCGATCTTGATGCAGGTGCCTGCCTGGAGGAGTTCACCAGGCTGGTGGGTATTGCGCAGGAGCAACGCCGGAGTCGGCAATGCGGAAACTTCGAAGCATGGTCCCACGCAGTCGAAGCTACCAAGCGCTCACGCGTCAACTACCCGGTGGAAAACCTGCTGCCGCTGCTGGAAGCATATGGTGCGTTTTCCTGCTCAAGTTCGGGTGTGGAGCAGAATTTCTCTGTCCGGCAGTGGCTTGTTCCCAAGCAGCGGGGTGTCAGCAACCAGCATGAGCTTGATCATCTTCAGATTGTTGTGGCAGACGTTTCGGATGAACAGGCTGTCTTCAAGGCTGCTTCTGTCATCTGGGTGCAACTCTATGGAAAGCCTCGCCAAACAGGATTCTTGGGTTGTGAGTGTGGGATTGAGGGTTTGGAGTTTGAGGAAATTTGCCAGACGGCCCGCATGTACTTTTTGGAAGTCTCTTAACTCCCTTTGTTTGGGTACGTAGGCTTTGTCCAACAATTTACAACCTTGCAGGACGGCGCTTGCGTGGCTACTTCAAGGTCGCCAACCCGGAGCAACAGAGTGTCCAGAAGCCATTGAAGACATGGCTGAAAAACCGCCGAGAGGAGGTGTCTGCAATGATTGCTGGCGCCAAGGCCGAGACGCTCGATCCAGCCGATGTTGCCGACGAGGCAAGAGTGAAAGCTGGCCACGAGTGGCTTGCAAAGCATGACAGAGAATGTGCAAGGCAGGAGGACCTCTTGTATGGCAAGGCGCTTGAGGCAGCCAGCAAGAACCAGCTCCTGGCCCATGAGCTGTCTGAAGACATCCGAGCGAATGCAGCCCTTCTAGAGGAAGCGGAAAACCACAATCGCGCAGCGCGAGACAGGCTTGAGGATAGGATGCAAGCTCGCCTGGCTCGACCAGAATTCAATCCCTATGGCAAGACAGTGCACTGTGAGCATGGCCTGTTCCAGGACGCGGACTTCAACAGGCTGCTGCTGCAGCATCATATGCGTGCCCCCCATGGTGATGCGCCCGTGGATGTATTTGTTGTCTCCGACCTGGCGCACCCGTGCCCCGCGCTTGCCTGCCTTGCGGGTATGCATGGAAGCTTGTTGGCTAGTCCACAGTTTTTCAGATCGGGGGGCAGTGTGGGCTCAGCCATTGCCTACACCAAGGCTTTGCAAACAAAAAGATTTCTTTTCGTGTCCAATGATTTCCGCGGCAACCACCCCGACACCTTTGCTTTGCTTCGCAGGGTGATGCAAGGTGCCGCTTGCAACTGGAAGTTTCTTGATACATTGGCAGATTGGTTACGAAATCAGGTTCAGCGCCCCAAGCAGGCCCCCACATATTGGGCCCTGCTCTCTGAGGCAGAAAAGGCAGAGCACCATGCGCTGTCGAATCACAAATATGCTCTCACTCATGACATGTTTCTTTCATTGGTTTGCCACGTGGACCACGCCAGGTCCGCCCTGGGAATTGGCATTTCTAGTTGAAAGCAGTTGGATTCCAGATGACTGATCATGATAGAACTCAGACGGTTGCAGCTAGTGTCTTCTAGCCCTGGGAATTGGTATTTCGAAGTTAAAAGCATTTTGGACGCCAACTGATGTGCGAGCTGACAGAATTCAGCCACTTGCAGTTAGACACCTCGTCTCTACTCCGCCTACACCTGGCTGTCTGAGTGCATGCAAAGGGGGATGGGAAAACATGCTGACAACACGCTGTAGTAGGTTTCTGAAGCACCTGACTTCAAAGTTTGAATCGTGCCCATTCAGCTCCCAGCGAGGCTTGGCAGCTTCGTGAATGCGTGGCCCGGCGCCCGGTGTGAGCTCAGGCTGCAAGCCTTAGCCAACAGCTTCAACAGGGATTAAGAAAGCATGCTGACAACATGCCGTATCAGACTTCTGAAGCACGTCACTTCAAAGCCTTAGTCGTTCAGCTCCCAGCGAGGCTTGGCAGTTTCGTGGATGCGTGGCCCGGCGCCCAGTGTGATCGCACGCTGCGAGCCTTAGCCAACAGCTTGAATGTGTACATCTTGGAGACTCGGGGATGTGGCTACTTATAATCGGGCTCAAATACATAGTAGAAGGGTCTTGTGTTTTGGATTGACCTAGGGTGCTCATGAGCTCATGACCCACTGAAATACGTAGTTGCAATCTCCTCACCTGTGCCTAGATATGTTTTGAAATTCTGAGCCCCAACTCCAATGAGCCACCAAGTTCAATGCTAGATTAGGAATGCTGCGCTTTGCTGTCTTCGTGTGTAGTGCGGGGTGTACCCTCATGTATGATGAAAGAAGTTGGGAGACTTTCAACATAGGTGCAAAGGCTCTATCTCTAAACTATAAACCCTATACCCCTAAACCCTTAAAGCCCTATGACCCTATATCCCTAGACCCTATAACCCTGAAACCCTATAACCCTATAACCCTAGACCCTCTAACCCTGAAACCTTGTAACCCTAAACCCTAAACCGACTCCTACGGACTCAAGCCAGCAAGACAAGTGCCCTTTACAAACTAAAGACGCCCTAAACCTTTAAAATCTACTTGTCTTCGACGCCTTTGTAATGCCTGCGCGGTCGTAAGGCTGGAAGCAAAACTGTGTTGACAGGTTGCATGCTGTGCCCTGGCTGAGCTGTTGGCGCAAGTGTCGGATTGGCAACCCTTGAACCTGAGCCATGGGCAAGTCTTCGAAAGAAAGCTCGACCCGGCCACAGAAGAAGGTCCGATCAGCGCAGGACAAGGAGGCCAGGGCCCAGGGCCGCAGCAGATCGGTACGCACGAGCCATGAACAAATCCCTGCCGGCGGACCACAGGTGGCTGCTGCGCACGGAACACAGCCTCCCAGATATCTCTTCTGCCAGTGCCTGGATGGACATCCATGGCAGCACCGGCCTAGCCCCAGTGCAAGCTCGCATTGCTCTGATGTGCCCCAGTCCCGAGCATGCTGTGGTGCTCCTCGATGGAAAGGTACCGAGCACCATCCTGGAGACGGCCTCCACTGTCGAGCTGTACGGCCGCATGTGTGAGTTTGAGGCATTGGCACTGGCAGCGCGTCAGGAAGTCGACCAGATCTTCAGGGAATTGGAGAAGCGAGGCGCATGGACGTTTGATGAAGAAGCAACCGATGATTAAGTGTGATAGGTGCGTGCATTCAGCTTCCCATTTTGTACATCGGCCAACTGGCCAATCGACTTCAGAGCGAGCTCGCCCCTAAAAAAGACCGACTGCGGTTTTAGCCTAACCTCCAGATGTCGTAGTGTAGACTGACTGGCCCTGAAGATGTGCTGTGCAGGGACTGCTTGGGAAAGATATCCTGGGAGCGCGGCCCTCACCAAAGATGAGTGCACAAGTGCTTGTGATGCGTATTGTGTAATTTTGTTAATCCCTTCTCGTTGAACACCTCCCACCATTAATATTAATATATGGTTCCTTAATATATGGGCAAGTATAGGGAGTATTTACTATCAGGGGGCAGGGGCGGTGTTTGATATTAGGGGGAAGGGATTATATATTAATGTATTACAGTTCATCATAAATATCTTGTGCATCATACTTAGGCCCCTGCGGGAGTCTGCCCCAAATATGAAAACCAAGAATTTATGAGGGAAAACCCAAGTCTTGTGAGGGTGGCAGGGTAAGACAAGGGTCCCTTAAAACCTTCAACCCTGAACGCTAGAACCCTAAACCCTGAAACTTCTGCAACACTGAGGCCCAGAACAGCGTCGAAGTGAACATCGCCCATGTCGCGGCCTTTGGCTCAGGGTTTTGGGCTGTAGGTTTTGGGTATTGGGTTGTGAGGCATCGACCCTTTGCCAAAGCCCCAATGGGGCTCGGCTCAGCAGTCTCTCGTTAAATGAGTCCCATGGCCCGGCGCATTACACCTCCAATCCCGAGGTTACCCTAAACCCTCAACCCTGAACCTTAAGACCTTCAACCCTGAACCCTAAAACCCTGAACCTTAAAACCTGAAACTTCTGCAACCCTGAGGCTCAGAACAGCGTCGAAGTGAACATCGCCCACGTCGCGGCCTTTGGCTTAGGGTTTTGGGCTTTAAGTTTTGGGTTTTTTGGGGACCCTGGCTAGAAGGCTGAGGCAATTCCAAGAGGCATCACTGCGCATGCTGAGTATCAGCATGTGCCAGCATGTCATCCCTCAAAGGGTTTAGGGGTTTGGGGTTCGGGGGCTTAGGGGTTTAGGGTTAGGGGTTTAGGGGTTAGGGTTTAGGGGTTAGGGGTTTAGGGATTTGGGGGTTCGTGGACCTTCGATGACAGTTGCAGGAAAGCTGCCTGTACAAAGCGGCCTTGGGATTGGGCATGAAAACCCTAAACCCTAAACCCCAGTTTTTTTGGCCACCGGACTAATTCCCCCAAATAGTGGACTTTAGGAACAAAAAAAAAAGCGATGCCCAATCTTGCTTCCGCCCTAGAGCCTTTAAATTAAAATCTAGCCGCCTGCTCAGATTCTGTCGAAAGGGCTCAGCAGATTCGCAGACACAACATCTAGGGTGTAGGGTTTAGGCCTTAGGGGCTACTTGTTGTTGTTGTTGTTGTTGGTGTTGTTGGTGGTGGTGGTGGTGGTGGTGGTGGTGGTGGTGTTGGTGTTGGTGTTGGTGTTGGTGTTGGTGTTGGTGTTGGTGTTGGTGTTAGTGTTGTTGCTGCTGCTGTTGTTGTTGTTGTTGTTGTTGTCGTTGTCGTTGTCGTTGTCGTTGTTGTTGTTGCTGTTGTTGTTGCTGTTGTTGTTGTTGTTGCTGTTGTTGTTGTCGTTGTTTGTCTTTTTGTTGTTGTTGCGCACCTCAAGAAAGTGGT